CAACGTGGATTTCAGCAATGGCAATTAAGTCTATATGACACAGCCTCTCAAAAGACCTGCTTTGCCAGAGACAACCTTCACTGGAATATGGAAACATGAAAGTTCAGATATGTTTGCTAAACGGCATGTCAGTATAATTATAATGTAAACATCATATCAGAAGACAGATGTCATCCTTTTCTGCTATGCTATGAGTCCTCTGGTTATGAAGTAGCTGAGCAAGCAGAAACAAACCTTCATTTGGAATGAAGTCAGTGCTGAATTAAGGAAATTCTTTACAAAAATCACAGAGAAGATCCAGATATTAGGACTGCATACCTTTTCAATTTGTTTTTGTTTACTGAGTTCTTTCTGTTGCTTCTCTTTTACTCTCTCTATTTCTTTTTGTTTTTCTGATGCCCTACGATCCTAAAGAACAGATGAATACAACTAATGAATTAAGTATGAAATAACTTTAAGTTTTAAACTTTTCAATTAATATTCTTTGTAACCTTTCAAATTATTTTCTGCATGTATATGAGAAAGCACACCAAAAATTTACATGCTATGTTAGCCATTTACCCAAATTCTAAATACCAAATCAGCAATAGTATCCAATGTTAACCTTATTTAGCAAAATCTTTTTATTTGTCATTATGAAAAATCTTGCCTTACATTAGTTAACATTCTTGGATTCTTACCAGTTCCGCATGTAAAGCTATCTGTTTTGCCAGTCCAACAGAATCACAAATCTAAAAGGGGGAAAAGTAGAAAAAAGTTAAGCAGTTCTCCTATCAAATTTAATAATTTCAAGTATCCAAATGGCGAATGTAACTAGTTTTATAACTCATTATAATACACTGCTTCAAAAAAAGGCTGATTTTAAAATGTTCCAAGCCCCAAACCAAGACTTTTGTTTTCTTCAGTCTGTGTGTTTCAACTACTGGCTGTCACCTTTTTAACATAATACACTTATTATCTCAAATTCATGACTGAAATAGTAAGGGTCTGCAAAGAATAAAGTAAGAGGCTGCTGATGCTACTCTAAGCTGAAGACATCTGAAAATAGCTGGTTATGGGAATATATTGCATTCCCAGGATAAATTAATGAGGTCAGAAGATTGCACTAGCTATCAATGGCTAGAAAGATATAGGTCTAAAGAACTAAGAAGGCCCAATACATCGGCTCAGCTCTCTTCAGAGCAACAGGCTTTGGTCAAGCAACTCAGCTGAACCAGGCAAAGTCTAAGTTTTCCAGAAATCTTAGAACTTTAATTATTCTTAAGAACTTTAATTATGATATGCATTTCACAACAGAGACACATTTTGAAAAGTCAGGTACCTTTTCCCCCTCATTGTTTGATTCAAATATATAGCAGACAGATGACAGATGACTTTCACTTCTCCCTCCAGATGTCCGAAGAACAAATCCAAAAAGCCTCTTATTTTCCTGGTGTGTAGCATATAAAACTACACTAGGTAATGGAAACTGCCACAGAAAACATCAGAGGCAAACATGAGATTTTTCAAGCCATTACAATAGTACTCTTTTTTTAAATTTTCTTAAAATATATTTTTATTGCTTGCAGAGAGGAAAGGAGAGGGAGGGAGAGAGAGAGAGAGAAATATTAATGATGAGGGGGAATCATTGATTGGGTGCCTCCTGCACGCCCCTTGCTGGGGATCAAGCCTACAACCCGGGCATGTGCCCTTGACCAGAATCAGCCCTGGGACCATTCAGTCCTCAGGCCAACACTCTATCCACTGAGCCAAACCAGCTAGGGCTAAAAATATATTTTTAAAAGTGAAAGTAAGATACGCATACTGCATGATGTATGTGTATTTAATCTTTGGGTAAAACAGTGTATGTTTTGAAGATGCTGTTAGCTATTTCCATTAATTAGTTTATTTGAAAGGCATCACAGACTCAAACATATGTAAAACAGCTAGATTTCCTTCATAACCTTCCCACTGGTTAAAGAATAATTTTTAGTGGCTTCTGTCTTAAACTAATTATGTAACCCTTTAGTGGTTAAGTATGTAGTAGAAAGAAAATTAGAATACCTTTTATTTAAAAAAATGTACAGAGCCCATTCACTTTTATTTTCTTCTTTAAAAATTTTTTTTATCCTCACCTGAGGATATGATTTTTTTTTAAATTAATTTCTAGAGAGAAAGGAAGGGAGAGAGAAAGAGGGAGAAACATTGATATGAGAGAGAAACTGAACAGTTGCCTCCCATACATGCCCCAACTAAAGATGGAACTTGCAACCTAGCTACGTGCCCAGACCAGAAGTAGAATTTGCAACCTTTTTGGTGAGTGGGACAATGCTCCAACCAACCGAGCCACCCAGCCAGGGCAAAACTGGAATATCTTTAAACTCATTAGCATCTTTCCTTTTTCCCAATAACCCTTCAATTATATTGTTTGAATGCTACATATGATCCTGCCATTATAAATTTTAACTTTTTTACTGTTATTAAAATTTGGGCAGTCATATTAGAGATGACTATTATGTCATCTGATGACCAGTGATCTAAATTCTATTTCTACCAATTTTTAAACATTTTCATATATAAATTATGTATACATGTCTTTAAAAGTGTCAATATTGTTTATAAGATGGCACTAAAAAGAAACTTGTTTCATAGTGTAAATAAATATGTGTTAACTCTCTTCTGATAATTTACTTTGCCATTCTCAGTTTCCAGTAGCCCTCAATATCCATTTAGTGGTCCTTACAGTTTTAGAGAAACTGCTTATCCTGGACTCCAGGAGTTGAGAGTTTAGCTAAAATAATTTCATTTTCCTAACCTAATTCATGGGTAGTACCAGTATGTGACTTCAGCTGTTCCAATTACAATAAATAAAAGTAATTCTGTTGGGAATACTGGGATTATGATGCTTGCTCTCATTATTATTAGTTTTTAAAACAAATAATACATAATACACAGAAGTGTGTGATCTGAAGAGATAGGGTAGATCACAATGAGAGGACCAACACCACATATATTAGTGAGCTTGCATGAGGTTATGACATATAACAAACACCTGTCAAATTCAAATGCTAGAGCGACAAAGTTATATTGGTTGCTTTTGTTACATGTATGCTTCAAGCCAATGCTAGTAGGTGACAGTGTCCTCTTTTGCCATGTATCTTTTTCATTTGAGAATTTAGGCAGATAAATAATCCCTATTTTGGTCATGCAGTTTTCTCATGATATGAATCAGAGAACTAATAAGGTAGTTCAACCACTCAAGTATAGAAGCTTCTACTCTGCCATACTTCCTATCTACTCACCTTTCATTAGCCAAGGCAAATCACACAGCTAAGCCAAGGTTAATTGGGCAGGGTAATTATGGTATTAATGAATAAAGTCAATTTGCCTTTATGTCTAGCTGGTATAACTTTCTGGAAGTTTGTACCTACCAAGAGATAATGGTTATTAAAAAAGTAAAGTACAGTTCAATGTTATTAAAAGTTAGATTTTAGTTTTAATTACTGGGAGATAAATGATGTCGTTTTAAAGAATGATTCGCCTTTCGTTTTAATGAGAAAAAATATGCAGCAAGGAGTTTTGAAACACTCAGTAAAACTTCTCTAAATTTACCAAATGTTTCTCCAGATGTCTGTAAGTGTCAAATTAAACTTGCAAATTATTTTGCTTCATGTGGGGTTTGTAATTGAAGAATCACTCATTTTCTCCTTTCTTCAAAATTCCTGACATGGGTAGTTGATAATATTGTAGAGGGAAATTTACTTTCAATAAAGTTATTACTTGTCTTTCCAGAGCAGCAATGCCCTTGCAGCTTCCAACATGTACATGTGGTGGTGAATGGCACCTATTTTAAATAATGCTTTCATGTTTCTTTATCAACAGGGTACGTGAATAAAAATTGTACTTTCTTAGTTAATTATATTTTCCCTCTTAAAATGAAAAGAAAATTGCAATGCAAATCTAAAATTCTTAAGGCATATGTGAGTCTAGACTTAACTCTTGCTGGTTTAAATATGATTTCCTGAATCAAATTCACTGCATATGTGCTTGAAATTTTGTTATGCCAGTTAGTGACAGAAGCAGGAGGTAAGCTGTTTTTATTGCTTTATGTATTAGTTCAAGGAAAGATAGTCATGGAACTACCCAGGAAGTGGAGGTGCAAATGGAAACATATTCTGCTTAGTTTATGATGAAAAAGGTATGAGGTGGCTCGTATAATCAACACAAAGGATGAGAACTGGGGCTGGGTAGGATCTAAGAAAGTCTGCACAGACAACCATGGTATGTAGGAAGTGTGTGCTGAGGATATCACCATTGTCACTGGGCACATGACACTGCTGGCCCTGATGCAATTTGATAGTTAGCTGATATGCTGCTGTACCCCACTTGTTTGAGTATTTGGTTTATGCCATGTAATTTGTCTCTCAACTCCTTGGTGGCTACTTCATGGAACTTCTAACTGACCCATTATATTATGTCACCTACCCCTAATGTTCATTTTTCTGATAGCAGCTATAATTGGCTGCCTAATTCTAGCTGCTGAAGCATGTTGAGATAGACACATTTTCACATACCACAGTATGTCCACATAACTGGTAATCAAGGAAATACCCACAAAACAATGATCCAATCACATTTTTGCTTGTCAGACTGACAAATATTAAAAAGATTTATAATATTGAATATAGTAAGGGCATGCGGAAACCAGCACTCTTTTTATTTAATCCCCACCTGAGGATATTTTTCCCATTGGTTTTTTTTATATTTTAGAGAGAGAATGGAATGTAGGGGTAGAGACAAAGAGAGAGAAACATCTATGTGAGAGAGACACTTCATATCAACTGTTTGCCTCCCATGTGCACCCCAACCAGGACCAGGGATCGAGCCTGAAACCATGGTATGTGCCCTTGATCCCAGAATCAAACCAGCAACCCTTCAATCCATAGACCAATGCTATAACCACTGAGAAAAACCAGCTAGGACAAAAACCATCACTCTTATAGTAAACTAGAGGCCTGGTGCATGAAACTCGTGCACTCAGGGGGGTTCCTCAGCCCGGCCTGCACCCTCTCACAGGAGCCCCGTGATCAATCACCCCACAGAGGGAGGCCCCGTCTACCCACTGCAGCACCACCGGCCAGGTAGCCTGGGCCTCCCTTTTTGGGGCGATTGATCGCCCCTAAGAGGTAGGCCCTGCCCACCTGGCCAGGGTTCCATGATGGATCGCCCCAAAGAGGTAGGCCCTGCCCACCCAGCCGGGACTCTGTGATGGATCACCACCGCAGAGGGAGGCCCCGCCCACTTACCGCAGCCACTGGTGGGTGGCCTGGGACTCCCTCTGCGGGGCGATCATGGGGTGGTGGCCAGGTCCCAAACAATTGCATCACACCGGCCTTGGCTAGCCTGGTAACAGTGGGTGTCATAGCATGAACGTCTGGATGGTCGTTCCGCTGTTCGGCCGTTCAGTCAATTTGTATATTACGCTTTTATTGGGGTGGCCTGGGACTCCCTCTGCGGGGCGATCATGGGGTGGTGGCCAGGTCCCAAACAATTGCATCACACCGGCCTTGGCTAGCCTGGTAACAGTGGGTGTCATAGCATGAACGTCTGGATGGTCGTTCCGCTGTTATTATTATAAACTAGAGGCCCAGCGAGCGAAATCGCACCTGGTAGCCTGCTGCTGCTCGCAGCCCTGCCCGCCTGCCCACCACCCGCCTTGCTGCGATTGGAGCCTGTGGGCTGCAGGGGAGAAACGGAGTGGTGCTCAATGCACCTCATGGTGACCAGCCATTTGGTCCTCGTGGTTGTCACAGACACTGGCTTTTTATATATATATTAAAGGCCCACTGCATGAAATTTGTGCACTGGGGGGTGTCCCTCAGCTCAGCCTGCACCCTCTCCAATCTGGGACCCCTTGGGGATGTCCAACTGCTGGTTTAGGCCTGCATGGATCAGGCCTAAATTGGCAGTTGGACATCCCTCTCACAATCCAGGACTGCTGGCTCCTAACCACTCGCCTGCCTGCCTGCCTGATTGCCTCCAACTGCCCTCCCAGCTGGCCTGATGGCCCCCACCTGCCCTCCCTGCTGGCCCGATGGCCCCCAACTACCCTCCCCTGCCGGCCCAATCGACCCCAACTGCCCTCCCCTGCAGGCCTGGCACCCCCAACTGTCCTCCCCTGGTGGCCCATTTTGTGACGACATGGGGGCAGCCATCGTGTGGCGGCCATCTTGTGACAATGTTGGGGTGGCCATCTTGTGACAACATGGGGGTGGCCATCTTGTGATGACATGGGGGCATCCATTTTGTGATGTGAGGGTGTGAGGGTCAATTTGCATATTTCCTCTTTATTATATAGGATAGATTGGTGCTTTCTGTAGGGGAGTTTGTTAATGAAAGTAAGGTACTAAAATATGAGTGTCTTTTAACACAGACATTTTTTCTAGGTATGTATCATAAGGAAAACAAAATAAATGTGAGATAATATATGTCAAAGGTATTTATTATACTACTAGAGGCCCGATGCATGAATTCATGCAAGAGTGGGG